CTATGCAGAGTACATTAATGGGATATGGAAAGAGAGGAACAGTAGAATCATTGAAGAGAAAGCAAGGAATGCAGATCAAATAGCAAGAGGAGTGGCATGTGTTTGCAATATTAGAGCTCAAGGAGTAGTGAGAACAAAGATGCAGCATCTTATACTTTGAAGACAATGTGGCAACTAACCAGTAATTACTTGTATAATGTCTTTTATGTTTTGCTCATAGTATAGGCATAATGTTAGATATATGTAAGGAACTAAGCACGTCGAGGATGACTTTGCTGATTTGTAAGGATTTCATTGGTGATTAATGAAAAATATAATTACCAAAAAAAAGGTTCGAAAGTTTCCTATAAGAGTTAATCCTACAAATCATGCATCGAGCGTAGCTGATATGTAATTGCATCTAGTTGATTTAGTTGATTGGAAGGGCAAAGGTTAATATATCAGATGGTAAAGGCATTATGGAACAGGGGAAAATACGATTGAGTCGTCTTTATTTCTTTTGCTCTTAAAAGTGAATAATGGTCATTGCTTGCAGGTGTCATTTTCGTAGTACAGTCAGACTTCTCTATAACAACATCCTTATATACTAGCCATTTACTAAAAGCCTAGTTTTTCTCAGAACCGATTTTTTATGTTATATTTTACCTCTCTATAACAGCATTCTGCCTATAACAGCAACAACCATCTTTATGACAGTACGCTCTTTGTAAAATTACCCCTCTATAACAGTCATGCAGATTTTCTAAGATTATTACTAATAATAATTCTAAAAATTTTAAGCAAATATTTTATAACTTTAATGTACAATTTATAATAGAAATATCTATTATCTTAAGGATAGCAGTACGTTCCATAAACATATGCACATACAAAAATATTTAAGGATCTACAAATGAGATATCTTGCATTAGAAAAATGACAAAAGATACTTAAAAGATCTTGAAAGATTTAATTGAGTGCCTTAGAGTTTACATATTTATGCGTTTAGTTAAGAATTTTTTAATAATGTATTAGATTTCTTTAGCATTTAATTAGGAAATATTTATATCTTTTGAGATTTTGAATTTAAATAAATTTTTTTATCTTTTATATATAATATTAAAAAAGGAAAAAATTAATTTTTGGATAATTTCTGTCTATAACAGCCAAAATATATTTAAACGCCAATGTTGTTATAGGTGTATAGCAGCCATTCACTATAAAAATCAAAAAATTAGGGAACAAATAATGCTGTTATAGAAAGGTTTGACTGTGCATTTATTTTCTAAACCTTTTGTCAGGTGGCGTATGAGGGATTCCTAAAGTACGTTCCAAATTTCACTTGTATGGAGGCTTTGTTTTCAGTTTTAGTTCCGAAACTACAAGATACGGCTTCCTCAAGTTTGGGTATATGGATCTGTTTGGCAACGGGTTAGCTCAGCTAACATGGCCCCCAACCATCCCCCACTATCTATCTATACTATATTAAAAGTCAGAAGCCTTACAGTTAAAATTAAATTACAAAAAACCCATAACATTTAAATAACTATTTTACCATTCAATTTAATTTCCACAAGATTTATTAATTAATCTATTTTTATTAACCCAAAGGTCACTTCTTAAATTTTAAGAGATGCATCTTTCCCTCTTCTTTTTCTAATCTCTTGTGACTTCTCTAATAATTACTCCCTTCGGTCCATAATAAGTGATTTTTTTTTAATTTTATTTTAGTTCAAAATAAGTATTCTTTTATATAATCAAGAAGGAACTAACTTAATTTTTTCAAAATTTGCCCTTATTTACACATCCCAATGTGTCAAGTTAACAGTATGCAAATTTTAATTTTCTCTATGAGTAAGTATTTTCTTAAGGGTTGGGCCAAAAATCAAAAAAGTTACTTGTTTACCTCAAAAAATGTGAGTAACAATTAAAGATAATTTGTGATTTTAAAGATATGTGATATATTCTAATACTAGTGATTATACAGGTAATATTGAGCTCAAGTAAGAAGAAACGATGGACCAAATCAGTGTTGTTGAAGAAATAGGGGCCTCGAGCTTGGTTGTCCCAGGGACCTCGAGGTCAGCTAAGAACAATAAAGTATGAACAATAAAGTAAAGACAATAAAGTTGAAGAATAATTGTTGAGCACGTTAAACAAGAAGGGCAGCGCGAATGTTCTATTGCAGAGAATAATATCATATATTTACAAAATGATTGGGGGTCCCTTTTATATAGGAGGAGAAAACCCCAATATAATACATTCCTCATAGTGGTAAAGAATTCTACTGGTACAGGTGTATAACGACCTAGTACGGACCTGTACCATTTCGTACCAACCTTATCCTTTAATTAATGCCCGGGTCCACGTGTCCTTGAGAAATTCCCGCTCTTTCTTGATTGACCTCGAGATTGTGTTGCCTTCGATGCAGGTCGTGCCAGGCCTTCGATCAGCTCCCTCGAGGTATGTGTCCCTCGACAGGATCAGACTCCCATTTTGAATTGCCCGGACTCGAACTCATAACCCAATTTTAAGATCTCGAAATCGTCGTGCTCCTCGATTTTGATCGTGTATATTACTTATTATGGACCGCGGGAAGTATAATAAAACTGGGCTCATCACATTAAACTAGACTAATATCCTCTTCTTTATCATCTTTGTCCGTTCTATGAGGTTACATAGTCATTGATTTCGTTATTATCCATGGATAACTATTTGTGAGAATTTGAGCGAAGTTAAAAGTTACCATTAATATTCTTTTAAATAACTTAAATACTTTATTTAAAAAAGGACAGCTCGATGCACGAGGTACCTTTGCCAAATAAATCCATATATCTTAACTTGAGGAAGCCATCTCTTGTAGTTTTGGAACTATTAAAAAAATGATTGAAAATAAAGCATCCATACAAGTGAATTTTGGAACGTACTTTAGGATTCCCTCATACGCCACTTGACAAAAGGTTTAGAAAATAAATGTAGCTTCTAAGTATCTTCCTTAACTTTGTGTGGGGATTACCCTTTAGGATTGATTTAATTGCATTATATGTACTATGTGAAAGATATGCACATGAGGTAACGAGTGTTTACACAGGCTTATGTGTGGTAATTGATCGGATTCGAATCTTACTATCAATATGCCTTGAATTGAAGTTGTTGTATATGAAGCACATTCCATTGTTGATTTACTTTACGTACTCTTGTGTTGTTGAAATTCTTGTATACATTATTGTTGAGGTGTGGGCTATGTATTGTTGAGGCATTGGTTTATTGTTTGAGCAATGTTGTGGCATATAGGCACGTGGTGTGCGGTTGATTATTGTGTTGTGATTGCGATGCACATGCGGCGACATAAGGATGGTGTGTATATTGATGCGCATGTGACGAGATAAGGGGGCTTATGCGCATGGTGCTAATAAGGGGATATACTTCATTTTGATGCACACGCGGCGAGATAAGAGGGCTAAATCGCGTGAAGCTATTTTGAGAAAATTGTTTTAATATGTGAAGCTCACGCGGCGGCATAAAGATGATTTGTGAATTGTGACTTGCGATTTGTAATTATGACGTGTGGTACCTCGGGGTGATTCTTGTTGTTATTATGACGTATGGTCTGATGAGTTTGAACTTTTCATTGTTTTTCTTAATTGACTTCACTTTGTTTATTACTTTCTTTAGTTAATTTTTTGTGTTATTACATGTTTACCCTCTGTTGCCATTTATTGATTTTGCGTTCTGTTGTTAGCTATATATTGTTATTTTGCACATGTTTTAAGTCTAGTGAATGTCTTGACTTGAACCTCGTCACTACTCCACCGAGGTTGATCACGATACTTACTTGGTATCATTTGTGGTGTACTCATACTATGCTTCTTCATATTTTTGTGCATATCCAGGCACCTCTGAGCGAGCTGGTTGTTAGGGAGCCGACTATTAGAGTTGGTGTGGAGACTTAAAGGTGTACCTGTATGCCTGCTCGCAGGCTTTGGAGTCCCCTTCTATTATCCTTTTGCTATTGTTTACTTTATTTCCAGACACTATTGTATTTATAGATTCCTAGTGTACCCTCGTAGAGCTTATGACTTTGTACTACCGGTCTTGGGGATGTATGACTTTTGTATTCTGCTATTGATTTTGTTATGGCATTTTTTAGCTTTATTTTAATAGTTAAATGGTTTAAATTAGTTAATCTCATCATGTAGCGGCTTACCCAGTCTTAGAGACTAGGTGCCATCACGATCCTCAAGGTGGGGTTTTAGTGTCGTGACATCTTTAGTTATCTTCAATATAAAATTTTCCATATGTCTAGACCGCCCATAGACTTTCGACTTAACGCATCAGCCACAACATTTTCCTTTCTGGGGTGGTATAGAATATCAACATTGTAATGCTTTAATAATTTAAGCCACCTCTGTTGCCTCAGATTCAATTCTTTTTGCTTGAATATGTATTGCAAGCTCTTGTGATCTATAAATATGTCAACATGAACTCTATACAAATAATAACGCCATATCTTTAGAGCAAAAATAACAGCCGCAAGTCATGAGCCCGGTAATTTTTCTCATGCTTTTTTAGTTGCCTCGAAGCATAGGCAACAAATCTACCGTACTGCATCAAAACACTGCCCAATCCCACTCTAGAAGCATCAAAATATATAACATAACCCTCTGATCCTTCAGGAAGGGCTAGAACTGTGATGAGGTTAGCCTATTCTTTAACTCTTGGAAGCTCTTTTTACATGTATCAGTCCACTGAAATTTAGCTGCCTTTTGCATCAACTTCGTCAATGGAGCAACAATTGATGAAAAATTCTTCACAAACCTTCGGTAGTAACCAGCTAAGCCCAAGAAACTACGTACCTCTATAGGAGTTATAGGCCTTGGTCAATTATTTATCGCTTTGATCTTTTGATTATCGACCTTTATGCCCTCATCCGATACAACATTCCTAAGAAAAGTCACTGAGTTCAACCAGAACTCGCACTTAGAGAACTTTTCATACATTTTACGATCCCGGAGCATGCGTTAAACCGTTTGCAAATGCTCTGCGTGCTCGGCTTTTGATCGAAAATACACCAAAATATCATCTATGAACACGATCAAAAAGTTATCCAATAATGGTTTGAACACGCGATTCATCAGATCCGTAAGAGTCATTGGTGTATTAGTTAGGCCATAAGATACAACAAGGAACTCGTAATGGTGTGTTTTCGGAACATCTTTTTCCTTGACTCTTAACTGATGATATTCAGATCTGAGGTCAATTTTTGAGAAATACTTGGCACCATGCAATTGTTCAAACAAGTCGTCAATCCTTGGAAGTAGATACTTGTTCTTAATGGTTACCTTGTTTAGCTGTCGATAATCAATACACATCCTCAACGAACCATCCTTCTTACAAAAAAACAATATCTGGGCATCTCAGGGGAAGTGCTAGGTTAGATAAGCCTTTACCCACAAGACCATTTAGCTAAACTATCAGTTCGTTCCACTTAGCAGGAGCCATCCTATACGTAGGAATAGATATCAATTGTGTATCGAAAATCATATCGATAGCAAACTTGATTTCCCTCTCGGGAGGAATACCAGGGAGCTTATCAGGAAATATGTCGGGAAATTCATTAACAACCGAGACTGACCGAAGGATTGGAGGCTTTGCCTCCGCATCCTGCACTCGCACTGGATGACAAATACATCCTTTCGAGATCATCTTTGGAGCCTTAAGGCAAGAAATATACTTTCCCTTAGGTGTTGCAACGTCACCCTTACATTCAACAAGGACTTTCCCGGAAATTTAAAGCAAACAACATTCTCCAAACAATCCACATTAGCATAACAAGAAGCTAACTATTACATTCCCATAATAACATCAAATTCCACCATCTCTAATTCATTCAAATCGGCTAAAGTATGGTGATCATAAATCATCACATCACAACCTCGATACACCCGCCTAACTATCACTGACTCACATTTGGGCGTAGATCTTCAAATGGCTGACGTAATAATTCAAGTTCTTTATCACATTTACCAGCAAAAAATGGGGTAATATACGATAAGGTAGAACCTAGATCTATCAAGGCATACACATTAATAGAGAATACGGATAGTATACATGTAACCACATCCGGTGATGACTCTAGATTTTGTCGTCCTGACAATGCGTAGATGCGGTTCTGCTGTCCACCCGACTTAGATGCTCCACTTCTACCTCTACCTTTCTCAACTGATGGTTGCATGCCTTGCTGTAATGATCCGGGCTGTCTTTTTGAGTATTTTAACCCCGTTTCCCCTGTTTGATGCTTTGCATATGTGTAGTTGTAGTTATGTGACTTGTCGGGGAGAGGAGGTGCCCAGACTCCTGCCACCCATACACTAGAGCAGCTAGCTCAAGTTCATTAGACGCCAGGGGTGTTACCGGTTCAGCCGGTTGCTGCTACTAGGGCCAAGGTTGGTCTACCTATGAATGATGTAGAGCAGAAAAGATCGGAGCGGTTTGGGAGGCTTAAGCCTCCAGAGTTCAGCAGAGCAGAGTCAAAGGATGCTCAGGATTTTCTATATTGGTGTCAGCGAATTCTTTGCAAAACGAGTATTTTGGACACCAGTGGAGTTGCATTTACTACATTTCAGCTAACAAAGGTAGCCTACAAATGGTGGCATGCGTATGAGTTGAGCAGGCCAACCAACATAGCACCACATACGTGGCATGAGTTCTCAGTTCACTTCTTAGATAAGTTTGTTCCCCAGACTCGTAGAGAGGAGTTGCGTAGAGATTTTCAGCAGTTATGCCATGGAGATATGACTGTGACTCCGTATGAGATGAGATTCACTGATCTTGCTCGTCATGCAGTATGGTTGGTTTCTGCTGAGAGAGAGAGAGAGAGAGAGAGAGAGGTCAAGATGTTTATTGATGGCCTCAACTATTGTCTACGCTATAGTTTGGCTCAAAAGGCTGAGACAGATGCTAGGTTGACCAGGTGGTTGAGATTGCTAGGCGCTTGGAGTAGGTTTGTAGGCTTGAGCGCGAGGAGCCGGATGGCAAGAGGCCCCGGGGATCAGGTGGTTTTAGTGGTACCTCATCTGGAGGTCAGTCCTCTTATTGTCTACCTTATTTTGTTGATTCTCAAATTATTCATGGGTAAGGTTGGGTAGAAGGCATCAAATAAGCTTGCTTGACTAGGATATCTCGGTTGAGCAACGGTCGCGCTCCCCAAGGTTAGGGCGTGATAGTTTGACTTTTGTGTAGACAACTCTGAATTAGAGTTTTGATGGTTCCAGTAGCTTCGTATGGTAATTTTGGCTTTATACATATTTGGATGTGGATTTGGAGGTCCGTTGGTTGGTTTGGTATTTTTTGGCGAGAGTTGGAAAGTTGAAGGTTTGGAAGGTTGATAGGTTTGATCGAGAGTTGACTTTGATGGTATTGGGTTCGGATTTTGGTTTCGTGAGTTGGAATAGGTACGTGGTGTCATTTGGACATGTATGCAAAATTTGAGGTCATTTCGATTTGTGTAGGCTTGTTCGGTGTAAGTTTGAATTTGGAAAGTTGGATAAGTTCCTTAAGCATGAATTGAGATGCGAATCGTGATTTTGATGTTGTGTTGGATGATTTGAGGCCTCAAGTAGGTTCGTGTTATATTTTTGGATAGGTTGATGTGGTTGGGCAGGGTCTGGGAGTCTCAGGTGTGTTTCAGATTGATTGGTTCTTTTTTGGACTTGAGTGCATTGTTGAAGATTCTGGACTTCTGGGTTTTTGCATCTACGGGGGTTGAGCTGCAGATGCGGAGCAGCAGGTGCAACCATTGGAGCACATATGCATAGGATGAGGATGGCAGAGGAAGTCCGCAGATGTGGACCATGGAGCGCAGGTGCGCAAGTGCAGATGCACATGAGCTTCAGCAGAAGCGGAGATGTTGATGCGACTTGGTGTCAGCAGAAGCGGCTGGTCAGGAAGTAAGTGACTTCAGAATCTACGATGGGTTTTTCGTAGATGCGGTATCGCAGGTGCAGCACTTTGGAACGCATACGTGATTTTGCTGGATAGAATACATATATCAAGGGTTTGGTCCTTTATCTCATTTTTGGAATTATGGAGCTCGGTTGGAGACGATTTTTGGAGGGCTTTTCATCATAATTGAAGGGGCAAGTTATCTTTACTCAATTTCGATGTTAATTATTGATTATCCATTGATTATTACATCTAATTTATGTGGATTAAAGGTGGGATTTGGGGGGGTGTTTGAACTATGATTTGGAGAGTGTGATTTTATGATTTGAATATCGATTTGAGGTTGGAATTGTATGAAACACACAGATTTGGACTTGTATCGGAATGCGTGTTCGGAATTTGTATGTTTTTTCGGGTTTCAAGGTGCGGGCCCGGGGTTGTCTTTTGGGATTGACTTTGCATAATTGATTCAAGATATTCGCTTTAATGTTTGGGGTTGTCTTTTATGGCTTCTATTGATATTATTAAGTCATTTTGGCTAGATTCGAGCCGTCCAGAGGTTGATTCACGCAGAAAGGGCTTGTTAGAGGATTGATTTGGCCTTCTTGAGGTAAGTATTTTACCTAAACTTGGTTGAGGCACTAGTTTCCTAAGTTATTTATGATAGCTACGGGCTATGAGTGGTGCACATGTGCGGGGTTGAGCCCATGAGCGTGCATCGAGGTATTTATCCACGCTCGGGGTAGTGCTTAGGCTATGATATGCCTTGAATTGATTGCTAAACTTCATGTTGTGATGTTTCCTATATCTGTACCTCGTTGTGAGCTATATGAGCCATCTTGAGGTTACTTGGAGGTTAATCTCCTGATTGGACTTAATAATTGCCACTTTCGTGATGAAATTTCCTGATTTGAGCTACGATAGCACATATTGCACATGCATACACCTTTGTATGTCACTTATACCAGTCCAAGAGTATGCAATTTGATATTTGGTGATCAAATACATGTATTCTTATATATTTTCTTCCTGTGTGATATGGTTTAGACTGGTGGCATGTAACCATGTGGCCATGCCAATCGGATTGTACTATTGAGCTTGTGACCATGTCAAGCAAATTTTAATATTTAGCCTGTGACCACGTCGGGTGAATTGTAATGTTAAGATTGTGTGCCGAGCGAATTGTATTATTGAGCTTGTGACCACGCCGGACGGATCATAATTATTGCACGTGACTATGTCGTGCAGCGTTTGGATATGGATCTATCCCCTTAGCATCACCCTCTCATGTTTCTTCTTGATGGTGTACACACGAATTGAGGAAAAACTGATCAATGGTTTTGGTATGTTATGGAAATTCTGAGGAAAAGCTAGCCAGTGTTTGATTTGGTTATTGCATTTCATCTTTACTTGCAATTTTCTTGGTTGTTTGCCTGATTTATTGCATATATTCCTTATATGTTGGGTTGTCGACTGAGCAGAGTATGTTAAAAATTATGTTCACCAAGGTGGTTCTTTATGGTATTATGACTTGATCATATCATTGTTCTGTACTTGTTGGATTTATAAACTGTATAAGTGAATAACGAGTATCGTTTATAATTCTTGCTTCTATTACCTCGCCGTGGTTAGTTATGATATTTGTTGAGTACATGAGGTCGGTTGTACTCATACTTAGTGGCGGAGGCAGGATTTCCGCTAAGGGGTTTCAAAAAAAGAAAAAAGTTGAAGACTTAGAAGAAACTGGGGCTAGTGGGAATTGAACCAACAACCTAACAAACATTTTTGAACCCCTTTGGCCATTGAACTATGCTTTTAGATTGTGTCAAAGGGATTCAAAATATAATATATAGAGGTACAAATCGAATTTTGCCTCATATGTACAATGTAATTTTTCGGCGAAGGGCGTTCGGGTGAATACCCTTTCGCCTCTCTAAATCGGTCCTTACTCATACTACACTCTGGACTTAATTGTGTAGATCCAGGTGTTGGACCGAGCCATCAGTAGCTAAGACTTATTGCTGAGGTTGACATCCGGGGGACGAGGTAGAGCAACATCTCGACTGCAGTCTTGGTGTCTCTTTTTCTTTATGTACTCTTGTGTTTCATTCAGACAATGTTATTATTTGGTATTTCAGAATTGTACCTTTGTTTAAAGCTCATGACTCGGTATTTAGCAGTTCTTGGGGATTTACCATATATTGCATTATTATTTATGTTAAAGGCTTTAGACTTGTACTATTTCTGTTATTTCAATACTTATATTTCATTTTTGTTATGTTTGGATTGTGAGTTAGGCGCCATCATGATTGGTTGGTAGTGTTGGGTCGTATCAAGTTGGTATCAGAGCCCTAGGTTCATAGGTATTACGGGTCATGAGCATGTTAGTAGAGTCTTGCGGATTGGTATAGAGATGTCTGTACTTATT